TATCCCACATACAACTAAACGTAGAGCTAATCCAAAACCTTGGTTCAACAGCCAGTGTCAAACGGCTGTACAGAAAAAACACAGACCATATAACCTTTGGAAACGACAACAAACCGCTCAAAACCACACAGAATTTATAGAAGCCAGAAATAGTTGCAAAATTACTATTGACTCCGCTAAAGAAACATAGAATCAAAGAATAAAAAACAGGTTGCTGAATTGTCCAAGTAGTTCTAGGTCTTTTTGGTCTCTTGCAAAAGCTGTTGGATCTAACTTCACCAAGTCATCCATACCACCACTTACAGATAAAAATAATCACTTAGCCACAACATCAGAGGAAAAAGCCAATATGCTTGCCCAAATGTTTTCCTCCAACTCCAACCTAACACTGCCAAACGGAAAAACTCCACCGTTCATTGAAAGGGTTTCCCATAGTATGCCAGAGGTACCCTTTTGTCACAGAGAAATACGAAAATCCTTAAAAAAGCTGGATACAAACAAAGCAATGGGTCCGGATGGCATTCCCGCAATAGTACTCAAAAATTGCGCCAACGAATTCACCCCAACTTTCGCAAAATTATTCAATTTGTCTTACAGGCAAGGAGTATAACCATCATCATGGAAGTCTGCCGCAGTACAACCCATTCCAAAGAAAGGAAAAAAGACAGATCCGTTAAACTATAGACCAATTGCTCTACTTCCGGTGATATCAAAAGTAATGGAAAGAGTTGTGAACAATCACCTAACCAAGTACTTGGAAAAGTACAAAATTATCAACGATAAGCAATACGGATTTCGAAAATATAGGTCAACTGGCGATTTACTTACATACGTCACTCACTTATGGCAAAAAGCGATTGAGTTGCGGGGTGAAACAAGAACAATTGCCTTAGATATATCTAAAGCATTCGACAAAGTTTGGCATGAAAATCTGCTCAACAAGCTCAAAGCAATGGGATTATCGCCGAAACTTTGCACTTGCTTTGAAAGTTACCTAAAGGACAGATCCATTTATGTTGAACTGGATGGCCAGAACTCCAACTCTTACCAAATAAATGCTGGTGTGCCACAGGGAGCAATCCTTTCGCCAACTCTTTTCCTGATTTACATAAATGACCTCATAGATAAAACAGTAAATCCACTTTATTGCTTTGCAGACGATGGCAATGTAGTCTCCTCACTCATACCACCCACAGGTCTTTCCGCACGTGAATTCCATCATCTTAGACTAACTCAAATATCGCAGATAAATAACGACCTGGAGATAATAGAGGACTGGGGTAACAAAAACCTTGTACAGTTCAACGCGCAGAAAACCCAAGCAGCTCTGTTTTCAAAAAAGACCAGCACCGGTGAGCCAAACATCATGCTATCTGGAAGTGCTGTCACATTACAGAGTCAGTTGAACATCTTGGGGGTTACTGCAGAGACCAACATGTCTTGGCACAGTCACGTGGCAGATTTTGCTAAAAGGGCCTCCCAAAAGCTGGGGGTGCTATTTCGTACAAGACATCTGTACACACCAAGCCAATTGCTGACACTCTACAAAGCCCAGATTCGACCAACTATGGAGTACTGCTCACATATATGGAGTGCAGCACCCAAACATACCTTAATGCTTTTGAATACCGTGCAAAAACGAGCTATCAAGCTGATCAATGACCCCGCACTTACCCGTAACTTGGATGGTCTCGAACATCGCAGATCTGTGGGCGATTTATCTCTCTTCTACAGGTACTATCACGGAAAATGCTCTGAAGAGTTGGCACGTATGATTCCACCGAGAGTAGCACCTACCAGGCGAACCCGTCAAACAGACGGTAACCATGAATTTACTGTCAAACTAGAGGCACCAAGAACCTCATTATATCAGAATTCATATCTCTGGAGAACAGCATCGCTGTGGAATAAACTCCCTGCGACGGTTTTCCCTGCAGGTTACAACCGGAACCGTTTCAAGACCAACATACACCGACATTTCCGCGCACTTGCCGCTTCTCCAGCGTGATAGGACATTTCCTTGCGAGTGCGCATATCCGTAAAAAAAAAAAAATATTATTAATCAATCAATTATTAATGGAGAATATCCTTCAGCTTTTGGAGAAGCTGTCGTTGAACCATTGTTTAAATCGGGCGAAAAATCTGATGTCAGTAATTATAGACCAATTTCACTAATAAGCAACCTTTCTAAAGTTTTCGAAAAATTTTTAAAGCAACAGATAGTGAAACACTTAGATACATACAGTATACTTTCAGAACATCAGTATGGTTTTCGTAATGCAAGATCGACTGAGGACGCAGTGGCGGACTTCGTTACAAAAGTAAATGATTCTCTAGACAAAGGCGTTCCTTCCATCTGTGTTTTCGTGGATCTTGCAAAGGCATTCGATACAATTTCACATCCGCTTATGATTAAAAAACTTCAGAACATCGGATTCGCAGATATAGACTTAAAACTGATGGAAAGTTATTTAAGTTGCAGAAAACAACAGGTTGATGCCGAGGGAGCTGTAAGTGACCTACTGCAGGTGAAGTATGGTATTCCGCAGGGAACTGCGCTCGGACCCCTTCTTTTTATTATTTATATTAACGACCTTTTCGAAGTTAAGGTAGGGGCCGAAGCTGCAGCATTCGCTGATGATGCTGGCTTCTATTACAAAGCAGATAGCTGGGAAGAACTGCAAGATAAAATACAAAGTAACTTCATTGAGTATGTCAAGTGGTTTGATAACAATAAACTGACAATAGATTTTACAAAAACAACTTTCATGCCTTTCAGTTGCTACAGTAATGGGTTGCCGGAATACAATAGTATTCAATTTCAACATAATCAAAAAACTGTTGAAATTCTAAGTTGCAAAAAATTTAAGTATCTGGGTGTATTTATCGATTGCCATTTAAGATGGGATCACCATACAGAATACGTATCGAAGAAATTGAGATCACTTTTACATAATTTCCGATTCTTTGTAAGAATATTCAATACGGAACAATTAAAAATATTGTATTGTGCGCTAGCACAGTCGCATATTAATTATGGTATTTTGGCATGGGGTTGTGTCACCAATAAATAGTTAGAGACAGTCACAATTTCACAAAAATGGCTGTTAAAAATAATTTTTAAAAAAGATAGGCTTTACCCAACACATTTACTTTATAATGAATGTGGTTTGCTGGATTCAAGGCAACTCTTTTTCTAAAAGATATCGATTGGACTGTTTGAAGGTAAGATTCCTAAATAGATATTCAGCATCCCTATGACACAAGAAATAGAAATCACAGCGTTTTTAGACCTAAAGTTTCAAAGACCATTGGACAGAGGTGTTTCAATTACGTAGCTCCTAAAATTTATGAAAAAATTTCGCCATTTATTCAAGCACCTTCTAAGCAACATTTTAAAAATAAATTAAAGGCATATCTTTTGACTAGTATAACCAGAGAAGAAGTACACAGCTTAATAGACCTAAAAAATTACTAAATCAATGGTTTTCTTTCTTTCCATGAGAGTTCCTTTATACTTTGTTTTCATAAATTTCCCTCTTCTTCTTCTTCTTCTTTTTCCTCTCTTTTTTTTTGTAATTTTTGGTTTCCCTTTTAATTTTTAAATCTTAAATTTTAATTTTTTAATTTTGATCTGATTTGCATTTATTCTCTTTTTTTTAATACTTATGTATTGCTTATGTTAAATGCAGAAGGGAGCTTTAATAATATGCCTCTGCGCGCGAGTCAAACTCTTGCAGGGCTTTATTTGATGAGCTCGTTGGTGATTCACTATTTTTTTTTGAGAATAGTGTTCATTTCATATTTCAGGGGGCGGATTGCATTCGCATGGAGTGCGTTCGAAATCCATGCCGGTTTCGGTTCGAATCGAGAGTTCTTAATCCGCCCCCAGGTTTGAGATTTTATATGGTTTATTGTTTATTATTTCTCCATTTTCTCATAAATTATATAAAGATTTACATTTACTAACCTGTTATTGTCCCCACAAACGAGAAATTTCTCTTGTGGGGTTGAATCCTGTATTTATTGTTAAGTGAAAAAATTGAATGTATATTTTTTCTTTAAAACAATAAATGCTATATAATAATAATAATAATAATACTTGAATAAATACTAAATATTAAATATTTAAAAAATAAGTCAGGGAATAGGAAAATTTTGGGGGGTTCTGCAGCTCTGCAGCCCTTATGTACCAGCCGCCCCTGCTATAGGTACTTTACAATCACAAAACACAAAAACCCAAGCGTAATCAACGCGGCTACCTGGCAAACTGTCGAACCTTTATTATAGTATTGGACTTTTCCTCTTCGATTATTGATTTTTTAGTTAGAGAAATCTTTCCTTGTTTCGAGATTTTAATTTCTATTTGAGCCACAAATAGCTGATGCTAGCGCATCTATTGGCCAGAAATGTTTACCTATTATCTCATTATTTCCCATAAGGTTGTGTAACTTTCTCAACGCTACCCAATGATTTTAGGTTGTATTTTTGGTACTATAATGTGAGTCTCTTCGAAAGCAGTGGGATCCAATGCTTCATGGAGACAGCTGTCAGTCAGATATTAATTGGGGATTCAGCAATAAGTAAATAGTAATAGGGGAACGCGACAACTTACAAATAGGACTTGAAATAGTAGCAGTAACTATATCTGGAGAGCCTCTCTGGACTCAAGTCCTAAGTTCCTAAATACCGCTCGTACTTAAAAATTAACTAGATAATTTTTTTTCTGGTTTGTTATGTGTGATTCTAAGCAATATGCTCCATGTAACTTATCGGTAATAAGCACTAACTAGTGGTATCATTCCCGATAGAAAAAATACCCAACTGTCAATTTTGTTATACGTTTCCCCAGCGAGTTTCAGATAAATTCTATAATTTTCATACTTAAATGATTTTCCTCATCAATGCCGTATCCGATTGGATTGTTTTAGATATGGCATGGGCGCTATATTTGCGTTAAAAAAATCGCCTATACGGAAAAGATAAAAATTAAGTCTTACCGTTTAATATATGCACATAAGTGCTGGCAGGTTGCGCATTACTCGGGACACAAGAGTAGTTCCCTGAATGTCTCGTAGCGGCATTGGTGATTGTCAATGTACTACTTTTCTCACTTAGTTCAGTTGTCACATTAATCCCCCGGTCGACGTCATAGTTGATCATTCTATTGTTGTGATACCTAGAGAAAGAGCAATATTGCCTATATGTTTGTGAAAATCCTATAAAATCTTACCAAAATACGTAAGCTGGAGGTTCTGTACTTTGTAGAACTGTACATTGTAACCGTAAACCGCTGCCTGGTTTTAAAAACTTTTCTGACGGACCTTGAATATCGGCTCTGGCTTCTGTAAAAAAATCTCTCTTATTAGAGTATTTCCAGAACATTAGCACAATTCAAATTCATGCTTTTAAATAATATTACGCAGATGTAATTTATTTCAATTTATCGCTACTGTAAATGGCACTCTCGAAATAAGCCTATCATAAGCTGAAATCAAATGTACGTGTATATAGATAATGTAGGCACACATCAGCTAATAAGATATTCCGCATGCTCATTTAGGCTGCTATTATCCTTGTGTACCTAAGATTTCAATTTTACGTGTAAAATTTAATGGAAATTTTATTAGAACTCATCCTCTATTATTAGGTAAATTTAGTAAGTACCTTTCCCACGTTCTCACTATTTCCTTTTCGAATTCCGAATATCAGCCGGTTTGCAAATATGCTAATATTTGCTTAACCCAGATGCAAGTCGATCATATTATATTCGGCATCAGCAGATGTCACGAAAGGAGATATCTCTCTAGTCCATTTATTTTTATGTGTCGCTTTTGGATTTTATGATGAGGTGAGGAATAATAAATCTTGATCTTGGGGTATATACAGTTTGCGAATATTTGAATGAAAATCACAGGCATATAGTGAATAAAATTTAATTATAAAATAAAAGATCCATCAGCAGCTGTTTTTCTCGCTTGTCTGCGTCTCGCGATATTAAAAAATTCCAGAACCCACATAAAATCCATTATTTGAGTAGGACGTTATTTGGTAGAGAGGAATAAAATTAAATGAAATGTTTGTATGAGTTATTAGCAGTCGATGCTATGATTAAACACTTGTGTTTTTTTTTTTGATAACTTTTCGTTTATATTACGGCCAAAATCAAGAAGATTAAATATTTTTTATTTAATTTTATTAAGAATTCTAAATGTCTTTCCGTTGAATTTTATTATTTCCAATTGTATAACAGTAATCTACTGCAAGAATTTAAAATTTCAGATGCAAAATAAGAAAAACGACAGAAGTATATTAAAATTAAACGAAGTGGCAATAGTCAAAAAGCTGGTGATCTCGTAAAACCCTTATAAAAAGCTTTCCCAACTTGCAAGTGGATATGGCAAATATTTACATATTTATTGAAGCGCGTCGTCGAAAAAAAAATAATACGAGCTGGAATAAGACCGTAAGACAAAAGCATGTTAATACTGGTAGTGGAAAATGAAGTGGGAGTTCATTAGTATGTAAATTCTATGTAAACAACTGATATTAAAACATATTATGCAACTAGTCGAATAATTTAAAATTACTTTGGGGAGACTTCTCATGATACTAATTCTCTAATAGTGAATTGTGAAACACATATTATGTTCTACCTTTATATTTGCATAACTTACTAGGATACGGTATACCAGAAGATAGCAGGTTATCACCTTCTCCTGATTTTACTGAATATTCTAATAAAACCATTTCGCTTTTGATTTATTTTCAGTCAGTTTATATTCTGGATCTAGATGTGTTGGAGGGGTGACCCTCATGGGGCACAATGCTTAGGCCGCAATCGGTCCTATGTGCATCCTCCATTCCAAACAAGAAGGGACCTATATTTTAGCGTGGGGCTCACAGAGCACTTCCGAACCTTGGTAATCGGTTGCACCTCTTGGAAAAACCTACCGACTAGAGCGTAAGTTTCTAGGTCAATTTTCTCCGGCGTCCGTGGTGAGAGGACGAAGGTGCATTCTGAACTCTTCCCTGGGCAGCCAGAAATATTTTTTGATCTGGCAGATATATCTTTTTTTTTTCTTGTAATCAAGTTCGACATTAAGCTTTTTGAAACCTGATTCTTAGCTATCGACTTAACTGCCGCAGTTTTCTAGATTGTTTCAGGTACTTGTGGTTCCATTCGACAAGAATTTGACCAGATAACCCAAAAAATTAGGACTTAGTTTGTTTACTGTGTTAAGTGGCAGATAATATAACATCGGTTATCAGAGTACATGATGAATACTACTAAACATCAGTGCCGGAAATTTGACTTGATAGTCAACTTCCGCAAGAACAAAGAAAGAACTATTTTGTATAACAGAAATCGCCTTCCTAAAAAGTGCGACCTTATATTCATCCCCATCATCACGTCTCGCAAGGCCAGGCAGTCTTGGCGAGGAATAGTAATGCGGACCCTTGGCTTATAATGAATATTTTTATTATTCTCCACCAACCAACATACAACCTGAGACCAAAAAACGGAGCAGCTACAACACCAAAAGAATCATTCAGACCGTCTCATAGGAGCACAGGATTCGAATACAAGTTTCCTCAGTCAAGAAAGCCACTGCAAAGATTACCACCAGCGTCACCCAGTATCAGTTTAAAACAAATTGAGAGTGAGATAGAGAACCAAGTGGATGATCAAACAGGCTACGAAGAAGAAGATAGTGTTTTTGGCAGTCCACCAGACCTTACTCTTCAAGAAGCACCGAAACCTCATCAACCATCAAAAGACCAAGTGAAACAATCTGATATAATGGCGAACACCACAATAACTGACGCCATGACAGCGGAAAAACAGGCAAAGTTGTCTCAGTTTATCAGCCCGCAAACCTTGCAGCCGTGTAAAACCAGCGCGACCGAGTTCCTAAGAACATACGACAGAAACAATATTGGAACATATTTGGACGGATCCGCAAACCTGTGGTTTCAGGAATATTAGCGCGACCATCAAAACACCAGCTGGAAAAACATTGTCAAAGATTTTTCTGAGGAATTGGACGATACAGATACAGATTACCAAAGGGCGATACTAAGGGCAGGAGGTAGAAGTGTCCGCGGGAATGGAATGGAAACTGCTTCCGGATACACGATCCTATGGAGGATCGATTCCGCTGACCTATACGTTACCATGGCAAGATGAAAATCAAAAAATGCAAACGGCAATGGAATGCCTCGATAAGAAAAAAAATAGAATGTAAGGTGATGGAAGCAATGGAAGAAATAGCCCGGGGCAGTGGACAGTGAATTGAACAGTTTGAACAATGAAGGGATCACGGGCCATTAAAGAAACAAAAAGAAAAAAATCAAAAAGAACAATATCGCTATCGCCCATGGACTCAACTGGTGTTGCGGGGTGGCCACACAACAAAAATTGGACTCTCTAGTCATGGACGAAAACTCTTTAGTCAAGATTGGATTCAGTAACAGAAGGACTATGCAGTCTACAATTAAAGTGATCGGCCTAGATCAAACAGTCTCAAGAAGAAACAGCGGCGGCCCTAGGAATCACTGAAGAAAATATCAAACAACTGGAGAATTTTGGAGAAAGGTCGGAAACGAGTATTTGAAGGGAGAAGCAACGCAACGTAATCTGATATACCTACTCTTGAAGAATAACATAGATATGGCGGAAAAGGTGGTAACAATCGCTACGACCATGAAAAACAGAATATCATAGACTCATGTAGACACCACCATATACCAATGGCGGTTGTAACTCCAGAAATCCTGAGGGCAGACTTAGGACACCTGAACAACGAGCTGGGAAAAACCGAACACGAACTAGGAATTCAAACACACGACGTATTTAAGTACTACGAGCTTCCAATTGGTGACTGTAGTTTAACAGACAATAAACTAGTGATCCACATAAAGGTACCTACAAACGAAAAAAGCCACAGATGGCAGCTATTTGAATTACAAACATACCCTTTTTCATGTCAAGGACATAGATGTATAATCGAACACAATACACTCTACATGGTGGCTGGGAACCACAACTATCACAAAAACCCAGCCACAAGACAAATACCAGGTACCGGCCTATATTTATGTAACCCATATGAAAATAGGCTGTACTACCTACCAAGGTTTTCAGTCGACACAATTCAAGGTCCTTCATGTGCCACAAAACTATTTCAGGGTACCACCTGACCACCCACTGCGCAATTAGATGTCATAAATCAACTCTACTGGTCATCACGGAAATTGGAGATAATAAATTTATTATAACTCATCCCTAGGGAGAAATAACAATCAATTGCCCAAATAAATCCACAGTTTCACAAAAAAAAAAAACGGAACTTCGCAACCAGAGGCAATCAAAGTAGTCATGCCATGCCAGTGCAACCAACAAAAAAATAGTGAAGTTATGATTCCAAAGAGGTTTCCCTGCAAGGAAGAGGATAATCAGTTATACATTACTCATGTTATCCCTGCAGCATGGACAAAGCACAAACCTAAAATCGTTCATCCTGAACCCTTTGATGACGCCAACACCAGTGAAGTTTAACAACATTCACGAGTGCATAAATCATAACTGGTCGCTGACCATACCACATCGGAACCTAACATCAAATAAAGAACCATTAGAAGATATATCAGAGAAATTGAAAAATGGACCATCACCACTTACCATTGGACAACAGAAAGCCACAGTATAATGGTGATATGGAACACCTTGATAAAGATAGTGCTGATATATGTTCTATGTAGAAGGTCTTAAACATTAATTCCTGCATTTTTTGAGCCTGTAAGCGGCCCGGACGAGCAACGGCCGTGAGAACACGATGCATTATTTAACATCACATGCGGATTATTTGCACTGTTTCTCATGTATCTATCAGGAACAGGGCTTAGGTACCTACAAAAAAAAACAAACAGCTCAACTGGAAACAGAAAAAACAATATGGATAAACATGTTGCTGTTCATTTGTACTGCTTTTCTTGCTTCAAGCAGATCTCAGCAGCTGATCGGTGTTCACTTGTCCCATAACTCCCATTTAATAAGCTCAATAATAGCAGCTCCTAGCAGATCTTCCTGATTTTTCGAGCAGGTAGCAAGTACAAATGAACCGCCTATATATTACGAATAACAGGTCACAATTCTGACAGAACGCTGACTTGCATTTTCCATAAAGTAAACAAAAAAGATGCCAACGAAGAACATGAGACGAACGGAACCTAAGCTGACGATATAGGACACGAAGTGACACGAACTTTAAGCACAGCTTCTTTAAAATGCTGTGCGGGGACCACAGCACCCCGTGGTGTACAAGGACCTGGGATCCAGTGA